CAACATGACTAACTTTTGTATCTCCTCTCAACTTCTTCCTTCTCTCTCCTTGCCCACTCTTGTTGCCTTAGAAATTACACACAAAGTATAGGATTCTCAGTTCCAAGTTGGTGGAATCGTAGTTCCGCTCGATCATGGAACCGTGATTTACATAGAATCGAGTTCCCTAACTTCTCGAATCGAAATCCCAAGTATCAAGGAATCGCCCAGAATCGAGATCCTGTGTCTCGGAGCTCGGGATCGAACTTCTAGAGGGGAAGTGGACCTCTCCTTAGAAGATCCCGAAAACTATGGTACGTATAAACTTTCATCATCCTTGTCCTTACACTTTGTAATACATGTATGCCTTCTTTTCCTTCCAATCTTCTTTCTATTACAGCCCATTATGCAAGATTATTACATGGTTGTTAGAGTCCATTGTGCAAGACTGTTATATGGTTGTTATAGTGCATCATGCAAGACTGTTACATGTTTGTTATACCCCATTATGCAAGATTGTTAAATGACTATTACAGTCGTTACAAATATAAATTTTTTCAATAATTGAAACCATGGTGGTCCATAAAGAGATCAGTTTGATTAAATTGAACATTTTGCAAGAAGGCTCAAATCATTGAAACCATCTTGTCGGTGCCCATTTAAGACCATGGATTGCTTTAGACAACTTCCATACATAACTAAAACAAGGAGGATACCTACAACTCAGTTGCTCTTGCATAGTTCAGAATTAACATTTAAGAAGGCATTGTTAACACTTGGGGATGGGTTTTGTGGCCTTCAAAGCCTTGGCGCTAGGTTCTTTGGATAAAAGGGCTTTTTTATTCCCTATATGTTTAAATTCACGTCATTTGGTCATTCCTGGTTTGAGTTGGAGTGTTGGCCTCACGTGGATGAAGCAAGCCATGTAAACCTGCCCCACTTAGATGACAATGGCCATTATGATAGATAAGTTCAACTTGGTGCTAGTTGGTTCTACTTGGATGAAACAATCCATTAGAACGAGTTGGAGCTCCCTACCTGGGACATAACGGGTTCCATCAATCTCTGCTGTGGTGTACGACTAGGCATTGAGTAGAAGAGTGGACCCACACCCTAACTAGATATGCTTAGTCCACATGATGGGCATCATCAAAGAGGGTTCAGCGATAGTTTTAGCCAAGTGCTGGCCAGAAGATGAAACAAGCCCTTATGTGTTAGGATGGTGGCTTGTGAGGACGAGCGCCTAAAAGCTTGCACAAGGCATCCTATACAACTTGAGTGCTGCTAGTCATGTTCTTTAGTTTGATAATGGATCAGTAGCATGCATACACTTTAATGACTCCCCTGGCACTGAAGGATTAAACATGGACACTCTGGTTGGGTGCTTGGTCTATGAAACCTGTAAACTTATCCTCGGAGAGGTTCTTGGATTATGTCGCTACGTTGTGGCACTTATGTGCCCTGGCCAACTTTATAAACCAATCATGAGCCCTGTGCATGGGAGACTTGTGGGTCATGGGTTTGTTAGGTTGGTTTATAGTGCAGATGGGATCATAAGGTAGTTACAAAATGGCTAATGGATCAAAAGCTAATATAAGGTTGCAACCTTAAAATGTAAAATTAAAGGTGCACCTCAAAAATCCATCATAAAATGTTGTTTGGATGTTGGAAAACCCTCTAATCAATCATCTCGACATTGTGATGTATGAATATAAAAATAGAAAAAGATTTCGAGTCCACAAAATAGTGTATCTCGCAACACATTATATGGACCATCCATTTTCATGATTTTCATGTGTTTATAGAGCTACTTGATTTGAACTATTGTTATAGTTCAAAATTTCATAATTAGAGATGAAAATAGATGCTCAAGCTATCCTTAAAATTTTTATTTCAAAATTACATTTTTTTTTTTTTGATAAAAAAATTTAGAGGTGTGCCTTAATTGGATTGTTTAAGGTTGCAACCTTATGCAAACCACACCCATGTTTTAAAAGGGACTTTTCATAGGGCTTTCTCAAATAAAACAGTTTTGTTTTCACCTATTTGGTTTAAAACCTGGGATTAATAACATTTATTTTCAAGTACGGGTATTTTAGGAAATTCCAATTTGTAGTAGGAGATGCCCTTAATGGAAATTTGCGCACCACATGTCCATCATGGCTGGCCACGGAATGGATGGCTGCTCTCTCACGGCATAGAACTCCTAATCCTAGAAGAAGACCAATTCACATAATTTCAGCTCTACCCGTCTAGATCTTTACATAACGGTTGCCCTAACCCTTTATGCGAGCACATTCCTTCTTCCCAAAGTGAGCACCATGTAGGAGAGAGAAAGTGAGGTTAGAAAAGATATGGATGTGCTAAAGCGAGATTTTAGGGTTTCAAGGGTTTCGCATAAAGAGAAAGACTAGTAGTGACAAAGGGTTGGGCTGGATTTTGGACCTAGTGTCTTAAAATGCGGGATGTGGTCCTGATTCGGTTAAGGGGGCGATGAGGCAATGCAGCTCGATGCGGTCCAGATGGGGGTGCATCACTTCAATGCGGTCAATAATATAAAAAATTCTAAAAAATCTCAAAAAATAGGTTATTGCATGAAAAAATAAATGTGGAGGTTATTTATGTGATAGTAAGTATTTAATTTATGGGTGTGGTTTGTATAGAGCCTAGGCTCTAAAAAATCAAATTAGACCCTACCCTCAAATAGTAACGAGAAATGTGGTTTCATTATTGGAAATCTTTGTGATAGCCTTAAAATACATTTTCATATTTTTTATAAAATTTAAAGCTTAAAAAATAGTGTAGATCGATAGATTTATGAAAACTTGAAAATCTTGAAAATTGACGCTCCAAAATTGCATTACAAAATACACTATTTCCAAAACTTGAAATCCATTTTTTTTCTCATCTCCATGCATCTTGATGTCGAGATGATCAATTTGAAGATATTTGGGCATCAAAACAACCTCTTTTAGTGAAAGGTTTTAGGTAGGCTCAAATTTGATTGTTAGAGCCTTGGCTCTATATAAACTTTTCCCTTAATTTATTCATTAACTCCAAAAGTATGAGCTGTTGGAGATTTTGTACCCACTATCTCCTGATAGATCATAGAAAGACATTAGAAAGTAGAAACTTGAAACTAACTTTATAGAAGACAATAAACCTTAAAAGACATCATATTATCATGATTTATGTGCTTTATCATCATCATCAATATCATCCTTGGCGGCCTCCACATATTCTTCTTCTTCCTCGGTCTCCTCGAAGTCGGCCTCATCCTCCTCGACCTCTGGAACTGACATGCGATTGGACCGAGCTTTTACTCTTTTGTGTTCTAGTGTTAGGTTGTCCTTCTTCAATAGCCCCTACGACTAGCTAAACATCAAAAAAATTTCCGCCATTCCTTTTTTCTTAATCGATATGATGACAAAAAAAGCCATGAAAGTGGGTGTTTTTGCTGTTTTAGGGGGTTTGTTCCCCCCCCCCTCCTTTTTGGGGGCAGAATTACCTAAATACCCCTTCTTGAGGGGCTTTTTTTTTTCGCCTCCCTGATGTGGCACATATGCAGTGCGATGCGCTTATGAGGCCGCATATGCAGTGGGATGCGGCACATATGCGGTGCGATGCGGCACATATGCGGACACATCCCACCAAAGCACATATGCACTATTTGCGACGCGCCTTCTGGCACATACAGCATGATGCCGCTGCATATGCGGTGATGCAAATAAAAGAAAGAAACGAAAATCACTAACAAAAAAATTTATTAACTAGAAGAAAAGGCACAAGAACAAAAGAAGAAATAAAATATGATCAAAACCAAAGCGGTGCCAAGATGACAACTCAAGGACCCATGATCACAACTTTGAGTTCACTGCCCATCCAGCCCACTATTTTATTTTTATTTTTTGCGGGAATAATTTACTTGTATTATATTAAGACAGCCCACATACTGGTTGCTCTATATCATAATGTCAAACAAAAAATGGGAGGGTTGTGTACAAGGTCACGTTAACAAAAAGATGGGGGCTGATGGAGATGAGTAAACAAAATCTGTACAGTCCCACAACAAACAAAAAAGGGGAGCTGTTACACCATGTATATGGCATCTTCATTTACTTCACCTGGTAGTTGTTATATCTTGTATTCCCCTTATTACTATTTATTTTTAAAAAATTCCTCCTTCTTGGCTCCAGTTCCTCAGCCACACCAGCAATAATCTAGAGTATTTCTAAATTGAAAATATTAATGCTTTAGTTCGCTTGACAGCTGTTATTCCCCGTATTCTTCATATTACAATTAATTCAACAGAATCCCTCTACATTCACTCTAGCTCCTCAGCTACAACAGCAATAATCTGGAACAATAAGTTTGTTACGAGAAGAATATAAGGATACTACATAGGGTAGACCAAATAAGAGGAAAACTGTCAACTAGAGAAAGGAAGTAGCTTTTAATGTGGTCAGCCTCCTCTCTTACCTTCCAAAGGAAAGCCCAATTGATGCATCCAAAATGTCTCCTTTGCATCCCAATCTCAGATGTCAGGCCAAGAGGTCTACCAACTAATCTGAAACTTCAATGCTTATAATGAAACACTCGTGGTCCCAAACAAACTCAAACCATCTGATAACTAGCCACTAATTCTCAGCTATTGACTACCAGCTTGTAATGAATAGAACAAATCCGTGTGTATGCAATAACATGAGTTAACATGAAGTAATTATCTACGCATAAACAAGTTGATGATGGATAACCATGCTTAAGCATAACTATCTATGAGTGAGTATCATCTAACATGCAAGGACCCCTATGCCCCTTACTATTATTGATTCATTTAAACACAATTCACTCTCACATGCAAGTGCCCGCAAGAGTCCCCACAGAATATTTAACTTGATGCGGATGATCTTCAAGTCCACAAAACCAACAGCTCAACCCAGGAATAAAACAAAAGGGGGAAAAACGAAACAAACAAGTCAAAATTTCAACACTCATTCGACTTACGTTGTATCAAAACTTACATTTTGCGTAAATCTTGTTGACTGTGTTGAAGTCCTTGATGTCAGCAAGCCTGTACAAAAAACATTCCTAAGTTTTTTCTTGCCATGTAACTCCTTCAAGTTGAAATAATAAAGTTTTTTCTTACCATGTAACTCTTTCAAGATGAAATAATAAAAATATAATTGTGTACGAAAGCATACAAGACTGTTGCCTTCACAACTGAAGAATAACTGGCACCACTAGCTTTCAAAACTTCTCCAATATTCTTTAGAGTCTGAAATATTTCCAAATGTAAATAAGGAAGCAGCACTTCTGGGTAAACCATCAAGTCACAAGGGCATATAAAACCACAAGTTAAGTAAATAAAGGTAACCACGCCCAACTATTCACCCTATTTCATTTATAATAGAAAACAAGAAATCATGGAATAACAAGTAACAATTCAAAAGAATCTAGTTGAAGAATTTTGTAAGTAACTAATCAGATGTTGTATTCGGTAATGATACTATGGAGCAACGAGGATAGAAATAAGCTCCTGTAACAGCATGAAATGTCTATATCAGAAAGCCAAGTGACTTTGAGTCATCTTTCAGCAGAAAACTACTGCAAAGAATTACGAAGGGCTATCTTTAGGATATCCTCCAGATTCATCGTCCTTTAAAAATGTAAATTTCAGGGACATATAATGTTGCCATCCTTATATTGGTGACTTCCAAATTTGGATTCTAAGTTTGAATCCACCTGCAACATCTCTGACACTTCTTCCTAATGAGGGATCAGGAACATTAAAATCATTGTTGCGAAGTACCTTAAGAAATATATTTTCGTTGAATAAACTGTTGTGTGTGACCTCTGCAAGTCTATCAAGTTTTTGGTTATTGTTAGTTCAAGAAATGTTGATGTTAAATGCCATGGTCTAGCTAATAAAAACCACAAGACACCCAAAATGGTTCTTACCAACCCAATAATTTGAATCCACTTTTTAAGTTTCCCAAATAAGATTTCCTTTTTCAAAATAAACCTTTCTAAAAGAACAAAAACAAAATAAGATTTCCTTTTTGATCAACCAAATAAGCATTCTATACATGCGATGATTGAATGCCAACCACTTAAAGAACCATCTCTTTCAGACAAGTTGGCAAGTTGAAACTGCATTGTGCAAGATGGATAAATTTTTTAACTTCATATTCTATGAGAAATCCAGGCATTATAATGTTTGCTAAAATTAGAAAGAAAATCATATGTACGCATAAAGTTTAAGTAAAGTAAGCGGAACAGTGAAATTCTTGTTAAAGCATATAGTTGTAAAGTTATAGCTATGCAGAAGAATAGATGCTCTTTCAGAATTGAAAGTGCAAACAATCAAGACCCAATTCACCTGCTCTGTCTGCTCCTCTATGCTATCGGAGATGAGTTTCCCTGTCTGAGAGCATGCATTAAGAAATTAGCAAGCAACTGATAAAGTGCCTAGTCAAAAGGTGGATCTGTGGAAATATTATGAGAAGAAATATGTCCTAAGTAACATCAAGAAGTCAAACCTCAGGAACAAAGCCCACTTGCCCAGACATGAAAAGGAGGTTATTAGATTTGATTCCCAGAGAATATGGTCCAGCTGCTTTTGGGGCCTTGTCTGCTTGAATAACCTCAATTTTACCTGAAATCAGCACTAAAAGAAGTCAAGACAGACATTCAAAAGTCAAACTAGCAATCCTGCAATATGAGAGACGTCAAGCTAAAGTACAAGAGCCAACAAGAAGCCCAGAAATACTTAAGAACATTTGCCATACACTTCAGATAAATAGGTAAGCCATAATCAATAAAAGATTGCGTACTAAATGAGTAGATTAACTACATGACAAATCATATTCAGATTTTTACAAGCACATAGCATTTTTGAACAAGAACTCAACCTGATTTACTACATGTCCTAGGACTGATGAGAAAATGAATTAGCAAAAACTGTAAGATATTTCAGCCCTATGTAGCAGAAACTAAGAGTGGTTGTGCCACTCCAAAACCTTCAGCCGACTCAGATCCCACCCTGAGCCTCACTTTAGCCACTTCTTGCCCTAATCTTTCTAAATACTAGATTTCCTCTTCCCACCTCTGTTGCTTCTCTTGCTTCCATCATGAGAATTTATATCCCAGCCTTTATTAGCGAAGGAAGTGCCGATCTGTTCTGGCACATACGACCCTTATTTGGAAAAATAACAATTAAAAGTTAAAACTAGAACTGTAATATTTATGTAGGTGATATTCCAAATAAAGACAATTCATCAACTGGAGTTAGAGAGAGGCCTAGCAATTCGATTGGTTAAAGAAGAGACAGCAAGAATGGTAGCATTGGACATATTCAGTTACATCTAACATTAACAAAATTGTTTCTTTCATATAAATATACAGATAAAACATAATTTCAAAGAGAGTTTAATGTGTCAAGTGATTGCAGGCTCTATAGAAAAAATTTGATGCTGCACAAAAGCAACCCACTAGAACCAATAACATGACCATTTTAAAAAATGACACATGAGCAATTGCATATTATTACAAACATGAGCACCCAGCTTTTGTCATTCCAGATTTCAACAGATTCAAAATAAACTAGATCTGGAAAGCCACTCACTGGAATTAGAGAGCAACATTTCATAAATTACAGGGAAAAAGGACGCTCATATAGCAAAATGCTTCTCTTCTGAAAAAAACCTTCTGTAATATGGTGTGGCCTTAACACTACAGCATAAATACCACATGTAATTCCAAAGAGAAACTATTGCTATGAAACAACTATAAAGCATGCAGGAATGACTATCACTAGAATTTTCAAGCGCTTTCTTTTATGGGAAAAATTTTATTATTATAAGATATATACATCAACTCCCAAATTTTGCAGAGAGACAAGTACCCTACTAAAACCAAAAGCGGGAAAAAAAACCAAAAACAAAAAAAATGGGGAGGAAAGAGAAAAACAGGCCAATAAGATACTCATGGTAATCGAATACTCCCTATAATCATCAAGAGACTCCAATCACACCTTGCCTGTCAAGAAATTGGATATCAATTAACTTTTATAGGCATGTAATCTAGAGTTACAGGTTTCATGCTATGGTGAGTTTAAAACCTGTTGCATCATTTCCACAAGTCTCCCAAATAAAAAATATTAACCCAAAGAAGGTAGTGTTTCCCAAAAATTTAGAATTCAAACTTGATGCTGTAACTAATGAAGTTTCACTGCGGCTCAGCGTCTTAGAAATTAGAGATGCTAACTGGTAGATGTCAACAACATATAAGATTTTTCCTTCACTAAGGAAGACATTATAATTTTTTTTTTTTAAAGTAAAGTTAACATTGTATTAAAGAGGAGAAAAATACATATAGTGATAAGAGAGGACCCGCAGGTCGGTCCTCTTAGTGCAAGGCTTATACCACCTCTGAGAATAGGTGTTGTACAAAGTGTGCTCTAGAAAAGTTGGCTAATACAATGCCTAAAACCGGAGGTAGGGGCCCTGTTTACAAAGGCTTTGGAAGCTAAATGCCAGACCGGGCAACGCTTAATATAGTGTTGACAAACTGAAATGAAGAAACGCGAGTGGGAAGGTATCCCGGGCTTAGGTGGTGGATACGGCTTGTGTGATGGCACCCTCCTTAGCTAGATGGTCCGCCAATGCGTTTGATTCCCTCTAGATATGCATCCATGAGACGAGAACATCCCTGCAGAGGTAAGATATCTAGTAAAAAATCGTAGTGAGGTACCAAGGAGGAGAAACAAGACCCGCAGCCCAAGAGACTACATTGCACGCATCCCCTTCCACAAGAAATGGTTGACCCCACGCAGGATCATAGAGTTTGATGCCCTAAGCAAGGTGAGAGATTCTGCCAGTTGTGAATTGGCGTGGCCTATGTGTCTGGAGAACTATGACAAGGTGTTCCCTTGGTAGTCTTTAAACCCCCCCCAACCCCTAAGGGGCCAGGATTTCCAAGCGAGCAGCCGTCGAAGTTGAACGTAATTGCACCCCGCAGAGGGGGGGGAGACCATCCCCCATAACGTGTGGGTTGAGTGTGCTGATGCAGCAGTCATTGTTGCCAATTGACAAGGAAGTTAGAGGAAGGAACGTACTTGAAGGTCTTGTGATTGGTGGCCCAAAAAGTCACGAGAGTGTGGATTTTGTGGAACAAGGGGGATTATCGCAATGGGCCCCTCAAAAAATTCTTGCATTCCTTTCCATCCATAGAGTCCAAATCGTGGCCTCTGTCGCTGCCTTCCAAAGGAGCCTCCCAGCTTTGGGCCACGGTAGACAATCTGCTAGGTTAAAAAGTCCAGGGATGGAGGCTGGTATGACCTAGGTCAAGCCGAAAAGGTTCTGGAGTCCGGCATGACCTAGGTCAAGCCGAAAAGGTTAAGGAGTTTCCTCCACTGGTACTGGGCTATATTGCAGTGGATGAATAGGTGAGGGTGGTTTTCTTCTTCTTTTAGACAAAGGGCACATTGATTCGGCAAAGGGATACCTCTTCGCTTGAGTTGGTCCACTGCTAACATTTTTTCTGCGCAAGTGATCCAATTGAATGCATGCACTTTTGGTGGCGCTATTGATGACCATACATTGTAATCTACCGAATGGGGTGAGATGGTAATAAGGTTCTATAGAACGAGGACACCGAGAAGGAGCCGGAGGCATCTGGTGTCCATATGATCACGTCTGGCCGAATAAAATAATCGTTGAGCAAGGCCAAGAGGAGGATGAACTCCAGGAGTTCGGCGTCAGAAAGAGGTCCCCTAAAAGAGGGGTTCCAAACTCTTATGTTGCATGTCAGCTAAAGTTCTTCCGAGATCCAGGCTAGCGGCTTTGTGGTAAGGGAGTACAATGAGGAATAACGATCCCTGAGAGGAGTGTGTCCCAACCAAAGGTCTGACCAAAATCGAACCCTACTGTCAGACCTCAAGTGGAACCTGATGGATTGTTTAAAGGTAGACAAGACTAAGAGGAACTATTTCCACGCTCCCGAGGGTCTGCTGTGGGACCTCCCCTCTGGTAGCCAGGCTTCAGAGGGGATTCTATACTTGTGTTGAAGCACTTGTGACCAAAGGAGATTAGGGGAGTTCGCCAAGCACCACCACCATTTGCCCAACAGAGCTAGGTTCTGCTTTCTCAGGGAACGAATCACAAGTCCTCCTTGAGGCTTCAGTCGGCAAACCATAGCCCAGGCGACAAGGTGGAAATTCTTTGACTCGGGCTCTCCTGATCAGAGGAAGTTCCTCATAAGTTGTTCCAGTCTATTAACTACCGTTGTAGGCATATGGAAGAGGGACATGAGGCAGATAGGGGTATTGGAGAGTGTGGCTTTAATGAGAGTGGTGTGTCCCGCGAAGGAAAGGAACCTCCCATTTCAACCAGCAAACCGTCAGTTGACCACTGTGTCTTACTTGGTTTCCCAATGCCCAAGGGCATCCCCAGGTAGTTAGTCGGGATGTCTTCCACTTTGCACATCCAACCTGGGAGCAAGGCTCTGGTATCATCAGGGGTGAGAGCAACCCCTATCATCGTTGATTTTGACATATTAACCTTGAAGCCTGTGGCAAACTCGAAGCACCTGAGGAACATTCGGAGGCATTCGACTTCCTCAGAATTGGCGTCAATGAACACTAATGTGTAATCGACGTATTGCAGATGGGAGACCGAGGGGCCCCTTGCACCGCTTTTGAAGCCATTCAAGAGGCCCACCTGGTACAACCTGGAAAGTGATTAGCTAAAGACTTCGGCAAGTATTGTGAAGAGAAAGGAAGAGATGGGGTCTCCTTGTCGGAGACCCAAGGAGACCCCTTGAAGACGGGAAGAAGCCTTTAGGTGTCCCGTTAACCAGGATGGAGAAGTGGTTGAATAACAACCCCTCATCCATCTCCGCCACCTATCCCCGAAACCCATTCTACCCATGGTCTCGTCTAAAAGTGACCAATCTACATGGTCGTAGGCCTTCTCCCAGTCAATTTTGAAGATGAGACCTGGTTTTTTCAGTAAGTGTCGAGAATGAAGACACTCGTGAGCGACCAGGAGTGCATCTAGGATTTGTATGTCCTTTATGAATGCGCTTTGTGAGAGGGAGATGACAAAAGGTAGCACTTCTTTCAGACGAGTAGCCAGGACTTTTGACAGGATCTTGTAGTAGGAGTTGACCAAACTGATCGATCTAAAGTCCTTTAATTTGTTAGCTCCTTCCATCTTGGGGACTAGGGCTATGAAGGTGGCGTTCAGAAATTAAGGAAGAGAAAGAGTCCCACCAGAATGGGATGGGGGAGGAGAGAGATGAGTTTTCCATTCAAGATGGTTCGAACCTCAAGGTTTTAGGTCCTCTCGGGGATAGGTTGAGTGTCTAACAGGATAGGACAGTGGTCCGAAGTTGGTTTAGGAAGAGCTATGGAGAGGGATCCTGGGAAGGCCTCGTCCCAGGGCAGAGAGAGCAAGAATCTGTCAAGTTTAGAGAGGGTGGGCTGAGTAGAGTGGTCGGACCAGGTGAAAAGATTCCCCTGGAGGGGGATATTGAGGAGTTCATTTCTTGAGATGAAATCCGAGAATTCTGCCATGCCTGGTGTGAAATTCAAGTTGGTATTCCTTTCAAACGACCATCTGGTGATGTTGAAGTCCCCTCCAGAGCACCAAAAGGGTGTCGGAGTGAGGTCGCACGGTTGAGTTCTGCCCAAAAAGCGGTTCTTAGGGCAGGTGAGTTCGGACCGTAGACCGTTGTGAACTTCCAAGGGCGGCCGTCTGAGATCCTAGAGAGGATGGTCGTGACAGGGAATTCTCCAATTAGAGAGGACTGGAGAGAATGTTCTACCAGGTTCCAAATAAGCCAGATGCCCCCTGAGGCGCCTAACGTGGCCTGGGAGAGCCACTGGCACGGCCTGCGACCCCAGACCTGCAGTATGAGTTATAAGGAGGGGTCCGACTGTTTGGTTTCGATGAGTTCTAATACAGTAGGATTGTGTTTAGCACACAGGTCCCTAATGCCAGATCGTTTGGGTTCTAGACCCAAACCCCAGACGTTCCACGAGATAAGCTTCATGAGGAGGTGGGGATGAGGGACTGGGGGTCCAGTTTGGGTGACCTACTGCAGAGGAGGCCAGTGGATGGGGTTGGCGCTATCGCTTGCGCTGGTGTGCCAGAGGGAGCCTTGAGGCCGTAGTTGATGCTGGAGAAGAGATTGCGAACTTCCCTTCGCCCCTTAATTCTTACCTTGAGCCGACTTTGGGCATCAACCTTGAAAAAACAGTGAAAAGGGCCTTCCGAGCTTTCCAGGGGAAAACCCATCACTGTAAGCAACTCCATGAAGTCTCCTTGCCCACGGTCCACTCCTTCAACGAAGATTAAGAGGGATGGAGGTATGAGGGAAGATCAGGGTAGGGTTCAGGAGAAGGGGGGTGCACGAGTGGTAAGGATAAAGGGGTGTTTAAGAACAAAGGGGACACCAGGAGAGAGGAAGCGGGAGCAGGGGCAAGCGGAGGGAGAGTGGGGGGGAAAGGGTGAGCAGGAAAGGTTGAGGGATAAGGCTGCACTCCCTAGGAGTTAACCAAGAACGAGGCTGAAAGAGGGGCAGGGGGTTGCCAATAATTGTCGGAAGCGGAGAGGAGGTGGGGGTCAATGGGAGTGAACGAAAGATTAGGGGGGCAACAGGGTAGAAGGCTGCCGAAAAAGGAGTTGAGACATGGATCGGGGTAGAGAAAGGGTCGTGCCGTTAGTAGAAAGGGTACCACGGGGCTACCTGAGCACAGTAGGACAAGGGGCCTGGGGGAGAGCTTACCTGGCAAATGGGTACCAAGGTAGGCGTATAATTCAGGAGGGGAGCCAAGAGGGAGGCAAGAAGGGTGGGGTCAGGCAGGGAAAGGTCAAAAGAACGAACCATCAGGATCCCGACAGAAGCCTCATGCGGGTCCATCGACGATGAAGGGATGGACGGCTGAGCGGGGTCGAGTGAGGGGAGAGAGGGAGGGGGGGGGGGACCCCGAAAGCTAACATGATGTGGTGATGGATGAGAGAGGGGCAATGGCTCTCAAGATGGGAGGAACGAGCAGAAGGGACGCCGGGAGAGGTAAGAGAAAGGGGCAGGGCGCCAAACACTTGCGGCTCTCGAGGAGGGAGTTGAGGAGGAGGAGGAGAGAAAGATTAAAGGGGGTGGGAAGAGGGGAGGGGCGACAAAGGGAGGGAGGGAAGGGGAAAAGGGGGGACAAGAAGAGGCGGTGAAGAGCGAGAAGGGAGGGGGTGATAAGAAGGGGGTAGGAGGAATAGGGGTGGAGGGGATCGAAGCAAGGAGATCTCCAGGGGAAGAGAAGGCAAAGGGGGGCTGGTTTCCCCAGGTGGGTTCGCAATAGAGACAACGACAAGCGGTCAGAGAACGCAGGTGGAGGGGGAGAGAGGGGAGTGACAGGTGGCATGAGGGGAGGAGGGGGATGGGGCGGTGAGGGGAAGGTTGCAGGGAAGAGAGAAAGGGTCGGGGCAGGCGAGGGCTCTGCAGCCTGCGGTGAAGCGGGAGCAAGAGGGGGGCCTGGTTTACGACCGACCTGCTCGAGGGGGGGCGACACAACAATCTCCAGGGGATCCAATCCCGATCTGGGATTTAAGGCACCGACATAAGGGGGATTTGAAAACGGATGAGACATACAAAAGAACGAGGCAGGATGGGACAGGGGGCTACAAGAAGACGGCAGGGAGGCGGCTGGGACATGGTTAGGGTTGGCCTTTGAGGTACGTGATGAGACGGCTTACGGACTATCTCCCACAGCTGCTGACTGGCTACGTGGCAGCCATGTCTTTCGTACGATCTGCAATTTAGGAGACGTTGGATGTCTCCAAAATGAGGCCCCTACGGGCTTGGGCTGAGGTTGAAAGTTGCTCCGCCGCTGACAACACCATTTCCTGGTCACCACCGTCCAGTCTAACGAGGATGGCTTGAGAGAGTCCGTCGGCAGAACTACAGGCGGAATGGAGAATGACAAGTTGGGTGAGGCCAAGGTCGAAGAAGTATGGGAACAGTAATACAGACCATCGACCTCGATCCAAATCGAGGAGGGGATGAGGGTAGGTTCCAGGGTTCCAGCAAGAGTCTAATGGAACCCTGTGGTAAGAATTCGAGCAACCTCCAAAGGATCGCAACCAGATGACCATAGGAAGCAGCAATTTTCCTGAAAGTGAGGGGGGACCAAGCATGGAGGCGAATGTTGGAGACTGTGAGCCATACTCTCGAAGGCCAGATGGAGCCGAGTCTCGGAGACCACTCCCTTAGGGAGAGATCGCTCCTTAAAAGACAAGGTGGTAGGAGAGCTCAAAGCAGAGCAAGCTCCTAGAGCGGAAGAAAAAGAGAAAAGAAGAGCTCCCTCAGGTAATTGCTTACACACAAGGTTGGGTTCATTCCATACACGTTGGCCCCATTTTTCAATCGCCCTGAAGTCATCCCTTCGGAAGCAAAAAGTACCCACCAGAGATGAACGCAGATTGGCAGAATGGGGGGCTGAAACCTCGGAGGGCACCGAAACGGAATGAGGGAAGAAAGGCGAACTAGACAGGGAGGGTGGGGGGAGAGGCAGGGACAGTGGAGGGAGGAGAGAGCCTCCAGCAGCAGAAGTCGTTGGAGTCCTCAAAACCTGGGCGAAGGAGGGCTTAGGTGGGGGCTAAGTCGAGAGCCTGGAATGGAAGGCCCTGCTGGCTAGGGGAGCTGCACCTAAAGGCGGTGCACCAGAGAGGTGCAGTTTCGTCGAAGCCAAGTGCAGCGGGGGAAGGGGGTGCTGAGATAGGCTGTAAATGTTGTCCCAATCCACGGGGGAAACCACCATCCGGGCGGTTGTTGCTGCTCCATGGCAATTGGCTTACACTTAAAGAAGATCTTATAATTAATAAGCAAAAGGCGAGAAATTACTTATGGTACTTTGTGATGTTATTAAAATGTTATTCCATTTTTTAAAAAGGTTGTATAAGTACGACTAACAACTGATAGGTAACGATAAACATTACTACTTTTAATCATTTTCACATATTTGAGCATGCATGTATAAGTATTTCTATCATTTCAATCTATGTTATTTTCTAAATCCCAAGTTCTTTAATCATGTCTTAACAAAATAAAAAGAATTAAAAGGCATGCAAAATGCTTTTTGCAGGGTTCTGTGTTTTAAGACAATAAACTTTTAATTTTAACTACGGCTGACACCAAAGTGCTTTTCAATTATTAAGATGTAAGGGCTTATGCTCCCATATTGGATACACCCTAACCGAAAAATGCATTTGAAAATTTAAAGTTTGGATCACATGAATCCTATGAGATTCAAGACCTGTTATAGACATGATCCTAAATTAAGGAAGTTCGGTGTTTTGTCCATGAAATAGGAGGTTAGAAAGGGGCAGTCCCTTTTCACAAAACTTCCCAAACTTTGTTCTATAGAGTTTTGTCTCAAGGGATATAAACCAAATACCATAAAATTAGAACATCAAGAGATTTAATTTGGGAAAGAGGAACGAGTAAACAGCCTATCAAGGCATCAATGATATTCATGAGAGAGTCAATAGGAAATGGCAAGCCACATATTGCATAGCCAGCTCCATCATGGGGGCCAGCATCGAAGCCATGCTCCAATCATCCTAGAAGGTAAAGCACACACTCAAAAATGGATCTAAAAAAACATAGCTAATATGTGAGGAATGATTGGTATATTTTTCTAGAAATCAAGCTCATTGTTCAAGCATATTCCATGTAATCAGAAAACACACAAGCAGCAGAAATAGGTAACCGACCAATACATAAGACAAGGAAGCTAAAGCATAATATGCACAGTGATGCATCAGAGAAGCACGTCTATCCATCTATCATCGAACAATTAACGAGAGAAGCACACATGACATACATCATACATATACTGCAATCTCTCTAAAAGAAGAAGGGATGAGTAGACAAAGACTTACGAGCAGTGTCTGAGATGCTCATGGTGGAGGAGGCAAACAAATGTGGCGTGAGTTGTTTCCTTCTTGTGGTCCGATGAAGAAGAAGCAGAGTGGAGCCTCCGACAGCAAGAGAGAGGCCCGCTGCAGCGGCAACCTGCGAGGAGCCCGTGCCCATGGCCTTGGTGCTGCGCGACAATGCCTTCTTCAACTCGATGATGGGCGCCAAGGGAGAGGAGGATGACCCAATACACCACGCCATTGTTGCACTGCCTTGCCTACTTACCCACCCGCTTCTTCTCTGCTTCCTGCTTCAAAACATCTGCGTTAAACCCGTAAACCAGTCCCTCTAAATGGCTACGGTTAAAACTCTACTCCCGCGGGAGCATTTCCCCCTTTCACTCTTTTTTATCCAAGCCGGAGTAACGTTGTAGAGGTGGTATAAGGGGTGGTAATGTGACGGGCCCTTGGTCCTAGCCCGGCGAATAGTCCAGTAGGCCCGCCTGAACCAAAAATAAATGAAAAAAAAATAAAAAAAATTAGGGCCGACTCCAGCAAAATGGGTCAACGCTGGCCCTAAAAACACAGGGCGGGCTCTGGCAAAATGGATTGGAACTGGCCCTAACCTGGCCTTCAGGCTGTAGTACGTAACCCTTGCCCTACTTTTTAGGGCCGGGCGACCTTTGCCCATTGCTAACCATAGGGGTTGCCACTCGGGCTTTGTATGACCTAACTTTGGCATTAGCCTAGCCTAGTCCCTGCAAGACTGACTAGGGTCGATGAGGCCTAGCCCAATTTTAACCGCCACCCTATTAGAGCCAAGTTGGGCCAAATATAACATAATAGATAAGAGAAAAATGAGGGTTGGATAACCATACCAAAGCCTGAACCAAACCTGGATCTTGGCGACTAGGCCTGACTTGACCCTCAGGCCACATTTTATGGCCCAAAGCCTTGTTATGGCAGGGGTATCCAACTTTTTTATTTCCATACCTACTTTAGATCTAGGGTACAGTTTGCATACAGATGCATCCGTAGGTATAGAGGTAAGGTGCACCTTCAAATTTTATCACGGTCTATAATTTTGATACAAAATATTCTTAGGATTATCTCTATATAAACTTTTTTCTTAGATCTAACTTCAAGGATTTATTATAAGTTTTTATAAAGTTTTACGTTGGCCTACTTAACGCAACCCAACCCAACGTTTTTATCGAATATGGGACAGGTGTAAGGAAAAGTTTAAAGTCCTTACCTTTCTTAAACCAAGACCTAAGTTCATGGAAATAAACAAAAAAAAAAGGGAAATTTAAGTGAATATTTTATAAGTTTTTAGAGTTGAAAATGATCTCAAAATTTTGACAAGCTGCACCGATGTTCTCTTTGTTCGTATTAATTTCTTCTACATATTATGGGTTTGGAAAATTGTTTCATGCGAGCTTGACCGCATTTCTACCTGTAAAGCATTCATTTTAAAGATGGAAGCAAGTAGGTGTTCCATCTAAAAACAATAGAAACCACCGGTCCGATTGTTTTTACTTGAATTATTATTTTTAATTTTAAAATTTATTTATTTATTCATATTCATGATCTCCACGTTACAGAGAGAGGCGTAGGAGTGGTTTACAAATAACCTAAATAGTCTTTTCTCTCACAAAGAATCAATCAGTTGATAGAGCTCATAGCTCTTTGGAAATTTAAGTTTTTCCCTCAAATTTTCCCCTACTTCTATCTAACTTCAAAGCTCTTTGTTTTGGAACTTCAATCAGGATTGAAGGGGCTACTTTTCTTCCACCCTTGACTGGGAGCTACGTTTTCGAAATCGAATTATTGGGTGGTCGACCATTGTAAGCAGTATCAGTCTTGGTGGTGTTTTCTCTCAAATGGGACCTTTTTCTTGGTGGGAGTTTCTCTCAACTGGGACCTTTTTCTTGGGTGTCTGATTATATTATTTTATTTTATTTAAGGAGGAGTACCTATGGAACGGGAACTCTTGGTCCTTTAGGTTTTTTTTGTTCGGTAGCACGAAGGATCAGCACCTTTTGTTTAGATGAACGGTGCATAGAGCTGCAGCCCAACCTCAATAAAAAGGGCTGCCGCCCTTTAGAAAGGAGCCATTTCAAGTTCCACGTGACATTTTTGTCTGTCACGTCAATGCCACCCCGCATTTCTTTTGTTTAAATGCCCTTTTTTGGTCTCAAGTGTGGACTAATGCGTTTAAAAGTGGTATGATTGGCAGTCACATATGTCAACATTCGTGTTATTTCCATGTGTATAACCAAAGAAATCTGAAAACCATGTGAGACTGTTTTATATATTAACATTGGATATATATAAACATTGGATGATGTTTGCATAAGGTTAAAAGTGAAGTGCAACTCCAAAGTTTTATTATTAGATGTAATCTTGATGTAAAAAGTTTTTAGAATAGTTTGATAATCTATTTTCATATCTAATTCTAAGGTTTTAAATTTCAAAAATGATAGTCTAAATAATATGTTACAAAATACCCCATTTTTGGGACTTAAATTTTCTTTTTTTCATATCCATACATCTTGATGTCGAGATGATCAATTAGAGTTTTTTGGGGGAAGTAGAAGCTATATTGAAGGAGTAAGTTCCTGAAAATCAATTAGAGAATTTTCCCACATCGGAAAGCCTTTTTGGATAAATTTTTGAAGTGCACCGTAATTCTCCAGGTTAATGTTGCAACCTTATATAAACTTTTTATGTTCACATTTCGGTTTCTATTAAAGTAATGATACATCATCTCAACAAAACATACCAATTCTTGTGTTGACTATCAGAGTTGTTCGGATTCTTGTAAGTATATATATACATTAAAATCATTGGTAACCTCTGTTTACACGTCGGGAAAGAAAAGTGGGTCAACACTTGAAGTGCCCAATTGCTTCAAACAAAACAAATTAGTATTGAATTGATTTCAATCAAAACAAAAGTGGTCCAACTTCAAACACATAAAAAGTGGTTTGGCATTTTCAAATATAAGTTGAAAGAAAAAAAAAAAACACTAAAAGTGCCTAGTCGGGTGTATTTGGGAACCCAACGAGAAATTTAAATAAGGAAATTTACAAAAATTTCCCATTTTATTATCAGAATTTATAAATAGTTCAATGTAATTTTTATTTTACACTCAATTCCACTTTTGGTTAGCTTGTATTATATTTTATTTTTATTTTTCTATATGTCTGACTAAGCTAAAATTTTGGGACTCTAGTATTTCTCACCATCATGTACCTGTAAAAAAAAATATAAACATAATTTCAAGGGCATTGTGGTCATTTTTATTTTTTAAAATAAAATTTTGATATTAGCTTGATGTTGAGAAGTATAGACAACTCAATTTGAGCTAAATACCACGCATAGAAAAATGGTAATTAACTTAAAAATCCTATTATATTTTTAAATTCAAAAAAAGATTGCAATATTTTCGTATTTGATACCGAGGTCCCTTTTTTTCGAGTTTTTATTTTTTACACAAAATACCCCCAATATGGTACTTAAAATACTAGACCATATCCGAAATTTCTTTTGAGAATTTAGAATTGCATATGAAGAATAAGACATTTCTCTACAAAATTGTTGGCACTCAATTGTAAGATAGACCACCACCAAGCTTTTTACTAAAAGTCGGTTCGGCACTTGAGTGCTAGCTTGGCTTAGAGAGAGACGATAGTTCGACCAAATGGGTTCCCATTAGCCTTTTTTCAAGCTTTCTGGGACCTTTTAAAAGGGTATCTTGTTAGTTTGATGAAGGAGTTCTATTGGAGAGGAATGATTAATATAGCTATGAGCTCTACTTTCATTGCACTGATTCCTAAAAAATTATTCAAGAGGTGAAAGATATATGGCCAATTAGCTTGCTGAGCAATTTGTATAAAATTATAGCTAAGGTTTTGGCTAACAGTTTTTGTCAGGTATTACACTTGATTGTTCAAGATCACAATTAGCCTTTTTGAAGGAGAGAAAAATAATGGATAGTTTTTTGGTGGCTTAAGAATGTATTCACTCAAGAATCAAGGATAGAAAGTCAAGCTTAATTCGTAAGTTGGACTTTCAAAAAGTATATGATAAAGTGGATTAGGAGGTTTTACAGAGCATAATGGGTGGTATGGGCTTTAGGTCTCGTTGGAGGTTTTGGATTGAAGGTTGCCAAAGTTCCACATATTTTCATTGTTGATAAATGGAAAGGGTAATTGTTTCTTTCAAGCCCCTCGAGGGCTCAGACAAAGGGACCCTCTATCACCATTCCTATATACTTTAATAGCTAAATGTTTCAATGTCATGTTTAAATGAGATACTTCCAAGGGATATATTTTTGGTGTGAAAATTGGAAATAGAGGTCTTATGATGTCTCATCTGCAATATGCAAATGATACCATTATATTTTGTGATCTTTGTGAAAGGGAAGTTACTAATCTTTAGATTTTTCTTAAATTTGTAGAAATGACAACCGAAGTGAAGGTCAATCAAGACTAAGCTTATTGGGATAAGATGTCAAGACAATCTAGTGGGTAGGCTGGCAAAGTTTTTGGGTTGTGATACAAAAAAGTTTCCTTGTAGGTATTTGGGCATTCCTTTAGTAGATGTTAAACGTTCAAAAGAAATTTGGGACCCAATTATAGAAATATTTCAGAAAAATTGGACCTATGGAAGGTCAAGACCCTTTATTTGGGAGGAAGATACACTTTAGTCCAATCCAACTCATCTGATCTTCCAGTGTACTATATGTCCCTATTCCGTATGCCTATGCAAATTGTTGAATGTCTTGAGAGGCTAATGAGAAGCTTTTTATGGGAGGATGTGTGTAATAATCCTAAAATTTCAAAAAAAAAAAAAAAAGGAAGAAAAGAACTTTTAAATAAGTGATGGTTCGTATGAGAATGATGGTCCTTAGGGACCATCACTTTCAAAAGCTTTTACCTGGTTTAAGCTTTTCCTTGCTGCCTTGCCACGTCCTTTAGTGGACGTGGTTTTCATATGATAAAGCGGACTTTTAACGCGACACCTCATATATGAGGTGGAGGTGTTTAAAATAAATTAAATAGGACGATAGGTAAGATATCGCCTAACAACTTCTTTCTCGCTCTCCCTCTTACAAACACAGTGAGCTCTTCTCTCTAGCTCAATTTTTATCGGAAGCTCCCTCTCAAATATTTTAGGTAAGTGACTTCATTATCTTGAAAAATAATCCGTTCTTTTAAAAAATGAAATGAAATAATTATTTCTGCTTATTATCATGAATTTTAAGCACGATAAATTTTATGCCCAAGCGACCTCATTATTTTGAAAAATAATATTTTTAATAAAATTATGATATTAGAAATTTTAAATGCTGTTATTTAATTATTTTTCTTGTTTATTGTTAGACAATTTTAG